CCTGGTCCCCAGGACCCTGCCTCGGCCCCTGTGGAGTCCCAGGACGCCCGGCCCTGGGCTGCCCTGCCGGGCTGCAGCTCCGAGCCTCGGCACAGCCCTGGCCCGCCCGGGGACTCCCCGCCCCGCCCCACCCAGGGGAGCCCTCCTGCCCCGACCCACACTGACCACCCCTCTCCTTGCAGGGGTGCGGTCAGCTGGGGAGGAGAGCGGGCTGCTGCAGGCCGGGATGGAGCCGGGAGAGGACCAGGGCCTCCTGGGCACTGCCCCGTGCTCACCCGAGGGATCCCGCAGAGAAGAGAAGAGTGGGTATCCCCTGGGGGCCCAGGGCTCCACAGGCGGGGGCAGGGCTGCCGCCCAGCTGCCCGTGTGGGGGCTCCTTGGCGGCACAGTCCTTGGGTCCAGGCCCCCGCACCCTGCCTTCCAGGCCCTGCAACTCCTGGTGGGGGTGCTGGGCTGCATGTCCCCAGGTGGGGGCCCCTGCTGTGCCCGCTGGGAGGGCACTGGGCTGGGGGTCAGTGGTCGCCTGAGTGTGAGGTTGCTCCAGGTTTCAAGCAGTTAGTGACCCCTGGTGAAGCCCCCTGCCCAGAATATGCCCCCCGTCCCAAGTTTTCTCCAAATAGCTGGGCCGTCAGTTTGTCCAGCGGGCTGGTCAGGACGCTGGCCGGTGGGGTCGTCGGCCAAGTGGGCGAGACTCCGGCTGACACCGGCCGCCGGGGGTGCAGCACGGGCGGCGGCTGGGAGGCCTGGGAGGCCAAGACCGCTTCCTTTCGCAGAACTGAGGCGAGGAGTTTCCCAAGACTTGACGCCATCCCCCAAATTAGACAGATACAAAATAGCCAAGCAGTTAACGGAGAAAGCCGTCAAGGTGGGCATGGGGCGCCGGAGGGGCTTCGAGAGGGCAGGGGCCCCGGGTGGCCATGTCCCTGCCCGGGGCCCGGGCGTTGGGGCAGCCGGATCCGCCGTCGGCGGCTCATCGCACCCCAGAGACGAGCTGCTTGGCTGTGGGTCCTTAATTGAAAGTCCTCTCTGGTGATTGGAGGAAAAGAAGATCTTCTCCATCTACGGCCACTACCCCGTGATCCGGGCCGCCCTGCGGAGGAAGGGCTGGGTGGAGAGGAAGTTCCACTCCCTGCCCAGGGCCGGCCTGGGCGCCGAGGACGCGGGCGCAGCGGGTACGTGCCGGGCCGCCTCGACCTCGCCGTCCCTCGTGGGGGCCGCGCCAGCTGCCCACCCCGCGTGGCCCTGGGCCCCCGCCTCTGCTGGCCGGAGGTCCCAGAGCCGCCCACGCAGGGCCCGTGTGTGGGCTGTCCACCGTCTCCACCGGCCAGGCCGCCAGCTTCTGCGCCGCCTGTCGCCCCTCAGCTCCCCGCCGGTCACCTGGAGACCTCGCCAAACGCCAGCTGCACCCCACACTGGCCCCTCAGCACCTTGCAGAGGCTGCACTGCTCACACTGCGGAGGGCGCCTGCCCCTCCTGGCCAGGGACCCTGCACCAAGCTGTTCTCCCCGTGCTGGGCCCCCGGGGCCCCTGTCCTCAGGGCGCAGCACCCAGCAGAGCACCCTGAAGTCAGTGTGGCCTCAGATGCTGCGCTCCCCCAGGCGCTGTCGGGCCGGCCAGGCCTCACCGCCACACCCTGACCTCCCAGGGCTGTTTGCAGAGAGCAAGTGCACTGAAGTCAGAGACGCCGGAGAAGCGGCCTTGGACTGCACAGAGGACATCCACGAAGTGATGGTAGGGCCCACGCGCGCCCCTCTGCGCCCCG